TGGTCTCTGATTGGTCGTTTCATTACCGTGGCAACGAAGAAGTAGCCCCCAGTGATCAAAATTCAGAACTTTCTCGGTCAAGATGGCGTTCAAAACTGGCGGCCAAAATTGGCGGATGATCAACACTTTTTCGTTTTGGCACCACTTTTTCGCGTGGTTTACGCAAACTGTTTACTCTTTATGGGTGGAGACAAACCTGCCCTTCATATCTATGCTCGGACTTTGTTGAAATTATCGGTCGAACCTACAAAAAAGATCCAGTGTATGCTCGTATAAACTGTACTCGAAATGTAAGCCTAAATAACTTTTTTCAAACGTTTTATTCTGCTAAGGTCCGGGCACAGCATTTTAGTTCAAACCTTTCCTATTTAGTGTCTGTATTTGGGTTAAGGGTAGGCACACGAAAAAGTGGTGCCATTTCGCCACGAAAATGTGAGGTATTTTAACATATTTCAGACTTTCTTATCGCTCGGTCACGTGACATTATCACGTGAAAATAGCATTATTTTGTTCCTTTTCGTTCAAGGATTCACCTGCTCAAATTTCATTGAAATTCGTTAAACTTTGAAATAGTTATGGTAGAATTATAAAAATACGGCTATTTCAGGGTTGTGAGCCATGCCTTAATTTTCTTAAGTTAAAGAACTAAGTCATAGGATCTAGACGACTTTACAACCTGTATTTGTTAGCCAGAAGATTGGCCGAGACCTCAAATTGCGAGAAGCTAAGCCGCCGATTGTGAACCAACAGTGCCTTGTTTACAAATCTCAATGTGACCTGTGCGATGCAGGTTATGTTGGTTTCACACGCCGTCATTTACACCAACGTATTGAAGAACATAAAAACTCCTCTTCGTCAATTGGCAAACATTTTCGCGACAAACATTCTTTGACTCCAAAGGATCTTACAAAGAACTTTAGCACCTTAATGAACTGCGCGAACAAATTTGACTGTCTCGTCTGTGAGATGTTTTTTATTCACAAGCTAAGACCTGCTCTCAATATACAGTCTGATTCAATTCGCGCTAAGGTTTTTAATTAGCTTTTTACTAGCACTTTCTTTGTAGTTTTATTGTTTGTTAACACCTGCAAAAATGTTTTTATATTTCATACGTGTATATATACATATATTTACTGTATTTCATTCCATTCACTTGACAATGACCGAAGCACGGTCGAAAAGTCGTGTTTTACCGTTCATTTTTATCGTCAAAAGTTTTAAGAAACCCTTGCTTATATGATCAGACTTTATATCTGATAGAGCAAGGTTCAATGATGGAAAATTTAGAAATAAAGAAATAATGCTAATTTTTAGGAGTGTTAATTATGATGTTATGGTTGAGAAAGTTGAATTGATTCAGCTACAAAGGAAGAATATATATTATTCCACCAGCATGATACATTTAATTAAGGGGAAGCTCTTATGAGAAAAACATGTCATCTCCATAACTGCAACACGACAATTCTTCTCGTTTTTTCAAGTTTCAATGCTGCCTTCGTTATTCTTTGGAACTTCCTTTCGTGAGATGAACATTTTAACCCCGTCAAAAGTTATGGTGATTTTGCACCTGTTTGTTGTTTTTGCGCTATCGCTCGCAGTTAATAGAGGTAGGTCAAACAGTGGTAAAAATTCCTACTCAGTAAATCTTTTCCGGTACCTTCACGATTACTGATGAAGTTTCCATACGTAATAATCTATTCAATCGTAACCTTATCAAGAGAGATGGCCAAGTCGACGGCGTTTTAGCTAAATACATCTATGAGACATCCTCAAGGTATTTCCTCAGTCTTGCAAAATAAACAACATGTCTTCGTTTGATTCAAGTACCAGCAAAATTATCATCTTATTTTGGCAAAAAATAGCCAATACTGAATAGCAGAATCAAGTAACGCCTTTTCCAGTCCGGGAGAAAAGAGAAATATAGTATTACTAATTTTCTTTTTTAACGAAAATTTTTCAAATAACATTTACAGTCAAAATTTTCGCCCAAGTGATAAACAACGGGGTTATTTTAAGTAAGAAAAAAGACTTCGGTTTTCTGAGATGTTACAAAAAAAAAATTGGGAGTCTTGAATATTTGTTCAAGATGCCCGTAAGGGTATTCGGGCGATCGACATCTGACTTTCTGTCTCCGATATTGGCTAAGGGAGACTCTTGCCTTAACGACAGCTCCTTTGTTATAAAAATTAATTTAACATCGTTGTTTCATTCCTCTGGCTCTCCAAAAAGTAACCCTGTAAGTTCTCTACTAAGCATTGACAAAACAACCTTTTACACCAAATTAATTTAGGTTAATTTCTTACACCAAATAACTTGATTGGTATAAAGGAACCGAAGAACTTGGTTTAAGCAATACGAGGTAATTACCAGGTCTGGAGCTGCGGGAGATAAAAATTATTTTCTAAAATGTTGATTAGCTACGGGTAATGATTGGTTGTTCTCACGTTTACGTATTATAGCAAATTCAGATGAGTGCAGAGACATTCGATTCAACCCAGACAACAAAGACAAGTATTTACGTAATCACATAATCAAAGCGGTGCCAGTTGAAAATAAAATGATCTGCGAACTGATTTGCTATAGAGACCCCGATTGTGTGTCTTACAACTATGGACCAGTTCTGAGTGAGAATCCTTTATGTGAACTGAATAACAGCACACATTTACAAGCCTTGAGCGAGAATTTCATAAACAGAAACGGCTACAGCTACCGAGGAATAGAGGTTAGTTTCTTGCGTTACAACCTCATGTAATATGGGAAATGTTACCACAGAGGAATGGTAGCCATGTTTTGACATGATTACTACAGCTCTTTTAATTAGGTAATTTTAAGGTACCCATCGGATACCAGTTTGGAAGAAATTAGATGTGTCGGACGTACGTGGTGCATACAACAGACTCTGTGCATGTTCATTGTTAATTCCCTAAATGTTGGAGACCAGGTGAATTCTTGGTGAGGTTTAATGCTTTCTTGAAATAATGAATCTGATGACCTCTTTTCAAAATTATAGGGATGATTATAATAGTAATAAGAGTAATGAGGATAATCATAAGAACTGCGCGTGAGCCCATTAAGACGGAAAGGCACTGATTCTTTTTTTTTTTTCATCAAAGAACCCTTGTGGAAACAGCCCATGTCAGAGTAATTCAATTTGCCAAGCTGGGTTTACTTCAAAAGGATACCGCTGTGTCTGTCCAAGAGGATTTGGAGGAGAGAATTGTGAACAAGGTATTCTAAGTTTTTTTTTTTTTT